TTTTCTCTAGAACCTTATTTGATTATCATTTAATGTTTTAGGAAAATCATGTTCTCCATTAAGTTTTACTAGAATAGAACTATTATAATTTTCTTCTAACTTTTTAAACGTATTAATTTTTTTAATTAAATCAATTACAAATGGATTAAAATAAAGTATTGTTTTTAAATTAGATAATTGAGATGTTGTTTAAAAAAAATCATTTGAACTATTATCAAAGATAATTTTCATGTTTAGATCATACTAGTCTTCGATCATAGTTTTTAAAACCTCTTTGATAAATATTATTAATAAAATCATTAGAAGTTTTGTTTTTTGTATCGTTTTTAATTTATTTATTGAAATTTGTATAGCTATGATCTTATTTAAATAAAAGATCAACTGATGATTTGAATTCTCGATGTAGAATAGGTTTAGTAACTATTTCTTTTAGTAACTTAATGTTTAAAAGACATTTTTTTAAAATAAATCAATGAAATGTTGAAGATATTATCTTTATTTTTGTTGATTTTTATTATTTAATAAAATTGCAGATTGTCAACTATTATAAAAACAAACTTCATATTGATTTTTATAATATTGTTCAATATCATTTATATAAACAAATTCTGTTTTTTCCTTCTTTTCACTCAGCTATCCATGGAATTTTCTATCTTCAATCTTACCTTCATATTCATATTCATCTGATAATTATACTTTTCCATAATCTACTTTAAGTATTCCATTCTTAAATTCACCATGATAAATAAGTGAATCATGATTTTTAAAATTATAATCATATCCATCAAGTTTATTATCTTTCTATGCACTAGAATAAGATTCTTCTTCATCATTAATACTTGATGTACTTTATCCTTCATATAATTTTTCGTTAATTGTACTATAATAAGTTTTGTTACCGATCGATAAAAGATGTTAATAAAATTGATCTTCTTTCCTTATAATCATTAAAATTTCAGGCAAATATACTATATCAACAATATCATTTTCATCACTACTACTATATTTATCATCATTTTAATGATATACTTTAATAGATCTTATATCTTGAAGAGAAGATTTCTTTTCTGCTTCTTTACTTTCAACATTAATAAGAATTAAGTTAAAACTTAATGATGAGTTTTTATCTTTAAAATCTCTTTCGTTTTCACGATTCGTCATCGTTTCCAATTATTATCGCTTAATTTAATCTGCTAATAAAGGAATCCTATAAATAACGAAAGCAACAACAAAAGTGATGTTGTCGAGAGATGAAAGAAGGAAAGTACCGTTTCTTTTTATTAACAGTGGCAATGATTTGGGATACATTCGATTGATCTGAATCACTCATATAATATACTTCATATTCACTTGTGAAATATTCATATATATTTTGAAATTCGAAACGTCAGTACAAAATTTTACTTTATTATTAAGCTGTAATAATTACATCCGACGTGGTATTAAGAAATTATGACAAGAAAAAGGAAAGATTTTGAAATATGTAATAAATAATACGAGAAATATAAAAGAAAAACAAATTTTTGAGAATAAATTTTTAGAAAAATATGATCAATTTATTAGTACAGAAGAAATACGACTTGCTGTAATAAAACAGCAAGCTATAATATTATCAGGAGAAATAAATGAACGTTTGCCATTTATTTTGAGATCATTTAGGAAAGAACAAGTATTAAACTATAAAAATATAGTTGCTAAACTTTACTATCATATTGCATATACCAACAATTTAGTTAAGAACAACAAATAATAACTGATAAGATGAATATTGTAAAACAAGTAAAATATTTTTAAGATTCAATTGGCAATCTATATTTAAAATTGGATATTCAACAAAATAGTTTACCAGAAATTCCCGAAAATGTAGTCGTACTTGTCAAAACTGGAAATTCTAATGAACAGATCAGTTATTTTGAAGAGAATGGAATAAATTTAAGATCTATTAGAATTCGAAATATTATTCTTGAGAACATAAGATTTTATGATAAAAGTGGGCTAATTTAGAAAAATGAAAGAAATGCAAAACAAGTAGAAAGTATTACTAAAGCTGCGCATGTGCAATATGATCGTACGTCCATTAATGTAAAATATTACATATTAAACATAAAAAGAGAACAGCTGGAACAGAATTCAGAAAAAAAGAGAAACTTCTAGTAATACCTATGATTTTGTTAATTATGCCAAAAATATTGTAAAATCGATATTTAATCAATTTAGGCATGAAAATTTTTTGAAATAAACAATTTACCATCGCTTCTATTTAATCTTTTATCTGAAATAATTGAATGTAATTTAGATATTTGTTTTTATAGATCAAGCTGAATATTACATGGATGTATAAAGAAGTATGACTCGACAAGATATTAAAAAATCTAAAAGAAAAAGAAAATCACTGGGAAAGTTAATTTTGGATTCTTGAGAAAATAAAAGAATTTTTTAAATTAGATATTTGTAAAAAAAAATCAATTTTGAGTGTCTCTTTTACAGTATATTTATCATAATAAAACTACAAATCTTTGTTTTGGTGAATAACTTGACATATTAGCAAATAAAGATGTATTTTTAAATATTGATCAAAATTTAAAAGATATTCTTTTTGTTAATGATCAATTTGACTTAAAAATTAAACGAATGAAAATTAATCATTTTTGTGATTTCTTGAGACAAGCTTATGAATTTATAGGATATGATCTACTTCAAGAATGTTATCGTCAAGTTATTTATCGATTTTTAGGAGAAAAAGTAAATTTTTGGAAGAATTTTTTCCTCCTAGCGAATAAATTATAATTCCAAGAATTTATCAGAAAAATATCTTTTATTATTGATTGAATATAATTTTTATTTTTTTATTAAATTTTAATCAAAATAATATTCCTAAAATGTTTTGAAAAGCAATTGTTCTTGGCGAGAATTCAAGACAATGGCGATTATAATGCTTATTTTTTTGAATGATAGTCTTTGGCTTAGAATGTGGGTGGGGTTGGGTAGGTGTGAGTGAGTCTTCAGTTCGACTAGACGTACCTCCGTATCCACACTCACACCCGTTGTTCCTTTAAGTATATATAAGAATAGTAGGTTCGTACCTCTTGTGTTCACACACGATATCCACAACGGCATAGATCCTTTCAGTAGAGGGTTAGCATCGCGTTACTTGTTTTTTAAAAGCTAAAACTTGGTAAAAGATTATATTTTTGTTTGTTGTTTATACAATGTGTGTTTTGTATATTAATTTATTGATTTAATAAACTAATATTCGATAGAAAAAAAAAGAAGCAGAATATTTGAACAATCAAGCTTTCGCTGAAATTTTTTTCTAAATATTGGATGACTAATTATATTCTGATTAGAAAATTTTATTAAGAGTATCAAAATATGGTTCAACCCGATCTGTCTGAAGACGTTCCTTACAGCAATAAAAAAGCACTTTAAATTCATCAACCTTTTTTCACAAGAAAAGATACTGCTATTCTTAAAATCGTTTATAATGGAAATATTAGTATTGACCAGATCTAAACAAAGTTTCTGTTTTATATTATTATTTGTCTCTATGTTAGTAGAATTGAGGGTGTGAGTTTGTTGCTATTTTCCACATGTTCACATTCTATATCAAAATGAGTCATTGCTTACGTCATTATGTTTCTGATTTTATATCACCTTTGAATTCTACACGAGCTGTTATATACCTTCTTTTTTTTCCTCTGTAATAGAAAAAGTAAATTTCACAGTCTTATATTGGATGAAAAAAAAAGAAATCAACATTGTTCGGTTCCATGTTTCTTTTTTTTTCTTGTCACCAAGTTGCATGATCGTTGAATACGCACACTCATGATATTAACGGTTCGTTCGAGCTACCGTCGTTGTTAATAACTATAGAAAGAGAACGTGTCAAAACATTAAGAAAACAGTAAATATTTTATAAAAATATTTTATTACTTTTCAAATGAACAACTGTTTTCATTTGAATACAATAGGCTATTAAAAAACGACCTTAATGGATCAACAAAATCAACAATTTGCACCACCTCCTCCATCATATCCAGGAGTTTCAGCTCCTATCGTTCCGATTAAAGGTCGATATCCTGTACGTTGTATATGTAACAACTGCCAACAAAATATTGTAACGCGAGTCGAAAAGAAAAATGGTCTTATGACATGGGCCAGTGTCGGTGGTATTTGTTTCTTTGGAGCTCCATTTGGATGTTTTCTTGGTTGCTGTTTAATTCCACTCTGCATTGATGATCTCAAGGTCTGACAATAAATCATACATGTAACTCATTATTTTCTTTTTTTTTCTTTTTACAAATCTAATGTATAGGATACAGTACACTTTTGTCCAAATTGTTCTATGGTTCTTGGTGTCGACAAAATGCTTTAATTCATAAATAATTCAAAATGGTGTGTCCAATCAAATTCTGAGAACTTCATTTTCAAATTACTTTTGCTTAATTGAACAATGCTCACAACAGAATATGAAAGAGAGAATTTATTTTTCAAAACACAAATATGCAATATCAAGAATATTTTGAAAATAAAATAGCAAATAATATAATTTGAAACCAAAAATATTTAGGACATATCAAACGTAGTGGTAATAGTATGTTAGTAAAAAAAAATGCTCTTTCTTTCTGTCATATTTGATCATACTGCACTTAATGTCATAATAACAAAATTTCGATACGAGCTATTTTTCTATCACATTTGACGGTTATGGTAATGTCTATTTATTTGATATATTTGTTTTTTGAATAGATTTTGACAGAATATATATTGTCTGATGTTATTTTAATCAAGTTTTTAAGTATTGGGAAAATGGTGCCTAAACAAACAGAAAACAGCAACAAAGTTTTTTACAGTATTTGTCAGCAGAATCACTTAATGCTTCGACTAGAATAACTGTTATTATAATATTATATGAAATATGATCAAATATAATAGAAACATTTTTCAAGCTTATTATACGGTACTAAAATACTACTGCGACTACTGTTCGTATGTCGAAAGTAATTCTGAAAATAAATATCCCTGAGCATTAATGCCAAACAAATGTCTGTCGCAGTTTATAATGTAGCCTTTCAAACATGTCCATGATTTTTGCATGATCTCTGCGTATACAAATTAGTACCCTATATATTTGAACAATCCTTTTAGATTATGTTTCACACAACAAAAGACGTTTTAATATGCTATAAAACAATATAATAAATTCTTATACATAGCACATTCTAAAATGTTTTCGATCTGATATTCTAAGAATTATAATTTTAGTGAAAATATTCTAATATAATGTTTGGATATATTTAGAATTGTAACAAGTCTTATGCTTATATTTTCATTTCAGACAAGTAATACAATAGTTGAATATAGGAATCAATAGAGATTACTTCGAGCATCATGATTATTTCAATTCGACTTGTCTGTTTAAGTTATTACAAAGTTTTGTGGTTGAAAAACAGTTTCATATCCAATTAACTCTTCGATAACTCAATAGATTTCGAAAGACTACTTTCTATCTTGTATTCTACATTATCATTAATGATAGATCATAGTTTTATCATAATAATAAATATATAATTGAATACTTGACAATTAAAGTTCATCGAAACAGTAGCTAAGACCAGAAGATCATATGAAATGATATCGCAATCTAGCATATTTGCTAGATCGGAACTCATATCACTTTTAAACAAATACAAAAGTGTATTGTTCATGAAACGCAATACTTTGAAAAATCACACTATAACTAACCATTGAATAGTTGTTGAAACAGTTGAAGAAAAAATCTTTTTGAGTACCTTTGATAATGTATTCGAAAGGTTCATTCACCATCTTGGGATATCCGCTTTTGTTTTATGTTGTATTGATTAGTTAAATCAATAGCAAAAAAAAAATTGTGTATTCGATTCTCTGAATTGTCCTATCGATTTACTAAATCAAACGAATTATTTATTAGCATACACACACACACAAGCAAAACAATATAGCTGAAAAACGGCAATAGAAATCGTCTTATATGAATAGTACATGAAAACAGAAAAAAAAAAGAAGATTTTTTTTTACAAAAAATTCTAGGTTGAATGAGAATAAATAAGAATTTTTGTTTTTTTTTGTTATTCAATTAAAGACGTGTACTATTACTGCTAAAAAAGAAACGTCTATGAACAACATCAAAACATTCTGTTAATGTTTCTTGTATTAATTGATCCAATATTGAATCAGCTATATCAAATTTTAATTGTATACAATCATCATCATAATTAATCCATTGAGATTCTGTACGACGTATTTCTTCATCAAGTACTGTTTCAAAATTTTCTTTAATATTACGTGTACCATTTGATATACGCCATTTTGAATATGTTATTTGACGTTTATCTAAATTTAATATTTCTAAAATTTTTCTTTGAATAAATTGTTCAATAAAATGATGATTTTCTGGTTTATTTCCACGATAAAAACGTTTTTGTATAAGTTTAAGTTTTTGCCATTCTGGATATGTTGTTAATTGAATATTTTCTGTATACATTTCATGTAATAATTCAATACATAAATCAAATATCATTTGACAATAAGCATGATGATTACGTTGAATATTTTCATTATCTGAATCTATTTTTTTTTTTTGTTCAAACGAAAAAAGAAAATATTAAAATAATAAACAAATATATATATATATATACCTTGTAAATCATATATAAAATATGAATTCGGTATTTGACATTTAATAGTTGATCGATTTGAAAAATCTGTATTTTGATCAAATAAAATTCTTAATGATTCATGACATAATTGAATAACTTGTTCACGACTATGAGGTACAAATAATTTTACTTGTTCTTCAATAAATATTTTTCGAGGACTTTCAATACGTGGTTCATCAGCTAGAAATATTTAATAAATTGTTTTAATTAAAAATTAGTTAACAATCGATTGAATAAAATTTTTTGATTAATAGAAATTTGTTAAAAGAAAATTTCATTTTATTTTATTTTATTTAAAAAAAAAATACTGATGCCATCGAACAAAGAAAGAAGAGTTGAGATACTTAGCTTACTGTCTATGAAGATATTGAATTGGATGAAATAGATTTTGTATTTTAGAAATTATAAATCAAGAAGAAATCATAATTTTATAACGGAAATTATATGTTTTAGTTCAAGGGAAATTGATTTTTATATTTAGCATTAATAATTTATATACTATATGACTTCCACTAGTGTAGGTTATCTTACTACTTGATTTAAATATATTATAGTAGTAATTTCCTTTAATTTTACTCATTTTCTATAATGAATGTAACTCAAATATTTCTGAATAGAGACATTATGGTCGCATGAACTAACACTTTCTTTTGATCTTAGGTAAGTTATGCAGACTTTTGCAACCTGTCGTACAGAATGGAGAAAGGTTAAAAGAAACATCAACACCATGGTATAAGTATGTCATTATTTGTTTGTTCAATCATCTTCACAAAACTCTAGAAAGACGATCATTTCTGAGTTGTATCTTGCAAGTGTTAATGTTCGAGATGTCGTCAAATGAACTAAGTATCCTCCAAAAAATTCATGCAGACATTAAGATTTGATCAAAACATTGACTTTTCTCTGTATGAATTCGATTGTTCGATAAAATCCTACTGTCAAATTTTGATCAGAAAACTTTACTCAGATGAAGGTCTTCGTAGAACTAACTTATATACAAAATTTCAAAAAGTTTTCGATCGAATGTCTCTGAGATATATACCTCATGTTTTATACACTTTAAATGGATAGCCACCTGAAATTGCAAAAAAAAAAAATCTCAGATACTTAATTGAAAGGTTTTGAAAATTTGTGTGTAATCTAATATCACTAAGATTTTTATCGAAAAACTGGAATCATACAGAAAAAATTCACTAAAAAGTCTTGTAAATGCTTACAAAATATCAAATAATCTCGAGCATGTGTCCTGTGAGTTCAAGATACCTGTTTATCGGATTGAAAACTTCATACTTCTAGCGTATGTCATAGAATCTTGATTGAATATTATATTATAGTTGAATTTTATGAGTTTACCTCAAAATATTATAATACATAATTTCATATATCAATCGAAAAATGATCATCAACAATAAATAATCTCATTTGTACATATGAAATATAATAAATGACTTACTATTTTTTTCATCCAATCGACTAAGATCAAGTGAAAAACCATTCTAAAATAAATTTGTTGTTTTTTTTTATATATATAAAAATCTTTTCTTAAATAATGATAAATATTTACTGATTCATCAATTATTGGTTTCACAGTGTCTTCATCAGTTTCATCATCATCATCATCATCTGACATCCATTCTTTAGCTTCTTGTGTTAATTGGTTTGTTTCTTTTTTTAAACGTTCAATTTGTTTTCCTTGACCAATAGCTTCATCAATAAATGTTCGAATCAATGATTCAGTTAATTTATCGATTTTATGTTCTTGTTCAATACGTTCATTAGGTTCATCATCATCACTAATATCATGTGATGTATCATCATTATTATAAGATTCAATTGTAGGTTGTTCTTGTTGTTGTTGTACTGGTACAGAAGAAGGAAGAGGAAACGGAAGCGGAGATGGAGAACGTAAACGTTCTTCTTCATTCAGAGTTTTATCATCTTGTTTTCGAGGTGTATTATTAGCTGATTTTTTAACAAGAACAAGAATTTCAGATTGTTCATCACCACTTGATTTTGATGATAAACTTTGACTTGTATCATGTAATGATTGTTTATTATTAAGATCTTCTTTAATTGATTCAATATCAATATTATCAATTTTTGGTTTGGATACAATTTCTTTCGATGGTGTAGTACGTGAATGACTAGTATCAGAAAAATCTTCATCATAATCATTTATAATTGGTGATGGTTTTCGTTCAGATGATTGTAATTGTATTTGTTGTTTAGAAGATTTTTCATTTGTTGCTGTTGTTGTTGTCGAAGATGATGATGATGATGATGATGACTCAGAGTCTTTTTGTGGTTTTGATAATGAAGTAAGATTTGTATTTAAATTTAATATTGGCCTATAAGATAAAGGTAATCGATTTTGTTTTATATTGAAAAATGATAACTTCATTCGTACAAAATATGAAATCGAAACTCGATTTTTCATGTAATCTGAGATGTATCATAGTTTCTTGTTGAAAATTTTAATGAACGAAGATTCGAAAAACTAAATTATTTCGAACTTTTCTATTATTCATCAAATAAACATTATCACAATCGAAAAGATTCTTTCATTAGATTAAATATTTAGTATTTTATATTTCTAAATCAAATTTATATTTAATTTTCAATACTCACTTTCCATTATCGGTACTCGGTCGACGACTACTATCATTATCAGTTTCTGATGAAACACCTAAATCAGTAGCAATTGACATTGATTGAGCATCATGTTGTGTATCAGGTTCATCACGTGATGTTTCTAAAGGTTTTAATTCTGGTTCCTTTTCTTTTCTTTTATCTTGTTGTTGTTGTTGTTCTTCTTCTTCATCATCATCATCAAAAAAGTCCCATGGTTTTTTTACTGTTGGACGACTTGATTCAATTTGTTTTTCCTATTTTACAAATATTTCTAATAATAATAATAGATTAATTTAAAAATCTTACAACAATATCTGTTTTCGATTGTGAAGCAGTTGTTACTGGTAAGTCTTCAGCTATACTTGATTCTGGTGGTTTTGTTGCTGCTGAAGTACTAGTACTGTTGCTATTACTACTGGTACTATTACTTCTAGATTTCAAAGGTGATTGATGTGATGGAACAGGTACTTTAGGTTCCGGTTGTCTTTTTGACGATGTTGGTTGAAGACGTAATGTTTCAATTTCATGAGTAGTTGTCTAAAAAAAAATCAAACTTGTATTATAAAGATGCTAATGATGAGATTTATATTTAGTTTCATTAAATGATTTTTGTATTAATGAATGACAGTCATTGGTATTTTTATGAAAGGATATATATAATTCAAAGTTTTTCATTTCACTATTGAGAAAATTCACAAGACTATTTTCATTCTAATGAATATTATAGTTCAATATATAAAAATAATAATTATTATTACTTGAAGTTGTTTTTTTAATTCATCTTCTTGTTTTCTTAAATCTTCTTTTGTTTTTTCTTGTTTTAATTTATCAAGTTCCATTTGTTTTCGTTTTAATTCTTCACGATAAGTACGTATACGACGTTCAATATCACTTGCATCTGTTGTAATCGTATCTAAATATTTTATTTAATGAGATATATTTTTTTTTCGAGATAATGTTATATATTTATTTACCAGAATGTTGTTGATGAGTTGATGCTGATGATGAATCACTATCTTTCTCAATTCTATAAGCCCAAAAACAAAAAATTTATACAGATCAAAGAAAATGACTCAAGTAGAATGAATAAAGAGAATGTGGTTCTTACTTCATATAAAAGTTAAGAACCAATAATATTATACTCCTTCCTTTACCTTAATTCGATAAATTTTTTCTTTTTTCGTATGATGAAATACCGAAATATACGATTTAGAGTAAATACAAGGCCTTAACTTTATAATAGAACGAACTTAATCAAATGTTTGATCCTCTTTTCGTTTTTTTTTAAAGTTATTACAAATGCTATCAACAGTTTTAAAAATACTTATAGTTTCTTATAAATCAATCTTCAATTAGAAATATAATTATTTTATTATAGTTAAATATATTTTAAAATATGTTCGATTTTTTTTTATCAAACATGATAGTTAACTTAGAAGTTGTCAGAAAATAATATTGATCGAACGATTTAGATGGTTTTACTCTTAAATGGATAAGACAATAAGTGTTTTCTGAAAATATCTATGCGATGTTCTACTCGTGTCATCAGATCTTGTTGCGTCCAATAAAATGATCATAAATCAAGAAGAAAGATCGAATGACACAAATCTTTTCAGATAGGAATCCAACCAAAGATTATCAGTCGAATGGTTTTCCACGTGAACGATATATAGGAGATGCTAATCATCGAATACAAAGAAGCTCGAAAAAAAAACTGTCTGATATTTTCGAGAAGACTATCTAATTCCATTGAGAGTTTTTAATATCCACATTTTTCTCGTTTATTGTTACTTTTGTCTTCTCTAGAATAAATCATGCTACATTAACTACGAATTAAACTGGCATAGTTTTTATCTATTATATTAGTTCAACAATGAGAACTTGCCGCTAGAATGTAATAAAAATACATAATTCTAGGAATGTCTTGTCTTGATAATACATACATCAATATCGAAATTTTTCATCACAAAATCTATTGTACTTGTTCTATGATTCGTTAAAAATGCTTAAAAAACTCTATAGTTATCGTTTCGATTGGATTAATTATATATCTCTATCGATGTGTATCATGTAACTTTATCGTAATACATTCATTTAATTTGTCTATCGAAAGCTTTTTGCTACTGAAGATTAAATCTTAGAATCATGTAATATAATACATTAGAAAGAAAAATAATTATAGGTTATTACGTACGTTTCTGTATGAAGTTTACTAGTACCATTCGGTTTTTTTCGGTGAACTGTATTATTTGTTGAACTATAGATAAAATAATTCAATATTGAAAATAAAATAAAAATATAAATTAATACCCTGATGATTTATGTGACATAGGTAAATCTTCACTAATACTTGATTCATTACTTGATTTTGATGGTACACGTAAAGTTGAAATATTACGTTTTTCATCGAGTACTTCAGGAGCTATTATTAAATAAATGTAATAAACAATTATGATTATATTTAAATAATGAAAAAAAAAAAAAAAGAAAATTGACATACCATTTTTAACAAGTTTACGAATTTGTTTTTCAATATCTGTTAAACGTTTTTCATATGCTTGTAATTCAGTTTCATTATGATATTTTTGATGTACATGTTTTTCACGTTTAGTAAATATCCTAAGAGAGAAAAAATAGTTTTTTTTTTTTTTTTTTTTAATTAAATTTTCATTATTTTTATTACTATCAAAGAATTTCTTTTCCCTTTTTTTTTTTTTTTTCTTCTTCAGAAAAATTAAACTTTATCGCCTACATTCCTTTTTTCTTTTTTTTCTCTTTTATATAACATAAGACATCTATAGCATAGAACTCATTTAATAATATAAAGAATCATTTTAAACAATGGCAATTATCTATCATTATATATGTTTTATCTTATTCTTTGGTTTACTAGTTCATTCTTATTTGATTCATCCACCATTTTCAAACAATGATGAATTTATGGCTGTATTCGAATCAAATGATAATGCTAATAATCGTCAATCTGATTCAAAGTATTATCCAACATCACGTTCTTATAATGTTTTAAAATTTCTAGAAGAATTAATCAATAGTTATGAAAATGACCAAGCATCAAACAACTATTTTTATTCGAATCTTAACTTACCACGATATTTACGTCATATTAACTAATATTATCATCTCGAAAAACAAAAAAAAAAAGACTTTCTTTTCAAACTAAATTATAGCATTATATAAACAAGAAAATAAGCATTTCCAATAAAATAAAAAATAAAAAATAACAATTAGTGTATATATTAGTTAGTAAAATATAATAAAATATTTAAATCAGCTATCCTTAAAGAAAAACAAAAAAAAGCTATTTTCTATATTATGTCTGAAATAGTCAATTAACTTGATTGGGAGAGAGGGGTGGGAAAGCAAAAGAAGAACATTAATAAATAGGTACAAAAAAATATATTCGAATTCTTACGGTTCCGATGTTATTGATGATGATGAACTAGATGATTGAGTAATTCGATGATGTGAATGTTTATTTTTTGATGATGGTTGTTGAAGTGAAGGTGAACGACGTTGTCGACTGGATGATGATGATGAAGAAGAGGAAGAGGCATTAGAGGAAACAGATGCAATTTCTCGAATCGTAGATCTTTAAATAAATACAATGAATAATAAAGAATAAACAAAATACAAAAATTACTTTCGTATTTGTTGTTGAGTTGTGTTATCACCTGAAGGTCTCTATAATACAAAGAGAAGAAGAAAAAAAAATCATGAGTCAATAATTATTAAATAAAGAAATTCTACATTTTTTAACACTTGTGCAAGTGAAACAACTTCTTGTTGTGCAAGTGCAACTGATCTTAATCGTTCCATATTTTCAATTTGTTTCATTGATGCTTCAACACCATCAAGTAAATGTAATTCAGCATTTAATTGTCTTTCAAGTGCATCAGGTGAATAACGACGTTCATCCAATATTCGATGAGAAGTTGTTGTTGTTGTTGTTGGAGGAGGAGGAGGATGATAATGATGAACAGGTCGACCATTATCAGGAGACATTGCTGGTGGTATAGGAGGAGATATTGAACGACGACGTTGAACATTAGGAAGTACAACAGGTTCAGGTGTTGGAGTGACCGAAGATGATGATGTCGAAGAACTGGTACTTTCCCTATCTAAAGAAGTTTTGTATGAAAGAAGAAAATTTTGACATTATTTGTGTTCATTTAAAAAATCAAATATTATGATTAGTAGTGTATGAGTCCAAATTTTTTTTTGTCCTAATCTAGAGAAATCTATAATAATGCTTTCATACTCATTGGCTTTATTTATTTAGTCAAAGACAAAACACTTTATTTTTTTGTGTCAGCTCTATTGAATTATATTTTCATTCATATAATATTTCATATATAAGATTTTTCTATTGTTATTTATCTTTGTATTTTAGAAATAATATCGATATCAATTATATTTGATTTGAGCTTATCGTGCATAAAATGTGTATGACGTAGTTTATAAATAATAGGTCATCATTAAGAGTAGGAGGAGTTAAAAAAAATATTTGCCTGTATTTTTACAATAAAAAAAGTTATAATAGCTAGAGGAACTGCAAAAGAGCAATGCTCATATTAAAGAAAGATATTTACAGTAAAAATAGTTCCATTAAGCCTGAGGCTATTCATAATTAGGAGATGTTCATTAGTAGAGATTTTACTATAGTAAAATAAGCATCCTCTTGACATTTTGTCAGAGTATTCTCCTAAATGCTTGATATCATTATGGTTAACATTAATATGTCTGAATTCAGATAAAAATTTTCTAAAAAATTCTCGATTTTGCTTTTGTAAAATCAAATTTTTGTCTGAATAGAAATAAGTTATTTTAAAAAAAAAAAGACTTTGAATACAATCTCTGAAAGATTAAAATATGAAATACGATATAATCCCTGTTGTTAATTATAAAGAGATGATTTTTATTCTATCTAGTTATCATGAAATACATATTTTCATCATCCTTTTACTTAATCTTCGAGATATACAATAACGTCTGACCCAATATCTATGGAGAGAAGAGCAAAGTTCTATTCTATATACATTTTTAAATTGTATTTCTTAAAAATAAATGACATCGTTATAGATAAAGATTATCGTCAGGATTTTTTTTTCAGATTTTGTTATTTTCTTTTATCAGTTCTTCATCAATAAGATAAATTCAAGCTTTCTTGATAAAGTATTTGTTTTCAACTTAATACAAACAAAGCAATAGTCTTAAAATATAAGAAAGAATCCATTTTTCAATGTTATCAATTCTCTTTTCTTCATACTTGATGAACTAAGTCTTGTAGAATAGATGAATTTTTCTCTTAAGTTTCTCATATATCAACCTATTTAAATTTATTTAATTATTGAAAAGTTAATCTCAATAAACTATGTCTTCCTGTCTATTACTTTATAATTATTCAAAAAACTTACTTAGTACTGGTTGTTGAATAACTCGAGGTTTCTGTGGTGTTTGTTGCTGTTGAATTGACATAGATGATGTTGTACTTGATGAATTTTCATAATCATCGGAATAACTTTGTACTGATGTTGGTCTTTCTATTTGTTTTTGTTCGTATTCAGATTTATTAGATATAGATGGATCTATCAGAGCACAAAAAAAAAAGATTTAAATTTTGATTTGTACATTAGAACTTGTCGGGTTCATTCTGAATCTGAAAATTTTCTGTTAACTAGATCTGAGTTCGAAAATGGCACGCTTCATTATACATACGTTTTAATGATGTTGTAGTATTAGTTCCATTTCGTTGAAAATGACGTAAAAGTGTTGAACCAATTGTAAAATTATCATCATTAAAACGAATATCTAAATTTATACCAGAAGTATCATACATATCGGTTGTATAGGAAGAGTTTTTTGTAGATTTATGAATGGGCTATTAAACAAGAAAATAAAAAGAATATATTTTATTTTTTTCTTTTCTATTAAAGAATAAAGTATATACTCGTTTATTAAATTCACTATGTAATTGTTGTTGTTCATTAAACCAATGAAATGATTTTCTTACTGTATAGCCACGATAAGCGGCTTGAATTTTCGTTGCAGCACGATCATGTTTTATACGTCGTTCTAATAATGGATCACGAAGATTACCAACACCTGGTAATTGTTGACCTTGATATTCACTTGTATGATTTTGATTTATATGACTTAAACGTCCTGATGGACGTAAGATTTTTGATGAAATAATTGATTCTGGATTAGTATTATTATTATTATTATTTGTAATTAGAATAGGAGTTTGAAGACGTAAATTACCATCATCATATTTAAATTGTTTTTGAGAAGAAGGAATAATATCAAATTGTTGAGTACCGTCTTAAAAAATATAATATAATCGAAAATTTTATTCTATATTGTTTTATTAAAGATATAAAAGTAAAAACTATTCTTTCGAATAATAAATTTTAATAGAAATATTAGTTTTCTAATGTCTCAATATACATACAAATTCTAATAATAAAAGCATGAAGATTATGTGTACGATTAATCATACGCAACTATGACCTTTCTAAACTCGTTTATTAGAAAATAAACAGTACATATTTCTTTTTACTCATAAAAAATAAACTTTCGTAATAATAAATAAGAGTAAAATTTAATATCGATTATTTAATTTAGTGTATTGTTTTTGTACCTGGTCGAATATATTTTAATTTATTTTCAATTGTATCACAATCTCGTGTTAAATTATTAGCCCATCGAAGTATATTTTGATGTCGTTGTTTAACATCTTAAAATAAATAAAAATAAAAAAAAAAAATTTATCAATATTATTTAATATATTACTATTTTGAATAGATGATTCTATATGTGAATGTATTATTGGTTTATCATTTCTAGAAATAGAAAATTCTATAATGAAATCTTTAATAATAATCATCATACAATTTTGGTGGTTGAATTTCGATAACTGATTCAGAACTTGATGATGAACTCGATGATGATGATGATGATGATGATGATGATGAACGTTCACGTAATGAAGATCGTTCAAATGGTGTATTATTATGATATTCTGTTGGTGGAATAGGTTTTGGACCGAGTAAATTAAGAAGTCGTTCACGTCTTTGTTCAGTTACATCATTGGTTAATATCTATAGATAAAAAATATATTTCTTTTATAAAAACAAAAAATTTTTTGATATATATTAATATACTGTTGTAGTTGATTTTTTAATTAATGATGGAGGTAATGGTTGTTGAGAAACTTTTTTAGTTTCTTCATATAATTTTCTTAAATTAATTTTTCGTTCATTTTCTTGTATAATTTTCTTTTTTTTTTCATTAGATAATTTTTTTTCATGTTGTTCTCGTTTTTCTTGAATATATTTTCTAATTTTTTCTTTCTCTTGTTCTATTTCTTCTTTTGTTTTTTCAACTAAAATAATAAGAAAAAAATCAATAATAGAAGATTTTTTTTTAACATGAAATATATATATATATACCTTTTTCTGGTTGTGCTGATTTAGCCGATATTCTATCCATTATAGTTGATTTCGAACCACCTAAAGTAACAATATTAATCTAATTCAAAAATAGAACAACTTTTTTTTTTTTTGTAAAATACAATCTTTTATGTATCCTTAGTGATCAACTTTTGTTTTTCATGAAATCAAATAAAAAAGATATGATAATGAAAAATTTAGCCTGTAGATTGATCTATTATGTTTATGTTCACAGAGTTTTTAGAAAGGACTTCTTATTGTGTCCTGTTTATGATTCATTATTTTTAATTAGAAAGAATGCTTTAGAAAAAAATCAAAACGATGTTTTAGAGTTTTGGAAACTTAGAAATACTTAGGACAAACCAAAAGTTCGTAGAACGGTGTTTAAAGAACCTTGTCGGATAAGGTAACCTATTCAGAAATGCAAAATCAAATATACCATGTTGTGGAGCTTTTTGAGGTGCGTCGAATGGTATATAATAAATCCTGTTTTCATAAGACTTTGAAGGAACTAGAGTCAAGTTACTGATAGACGACTACACACCCACACTGACAAGATGACCGGAGATGCTACATATATGAGGTTGTAGCCCATCAAAAACTCTGCACAATCGTATGTGAGAAAAAATATTTTACAAATACTTTCGACTAATCCCAAGGATCACTATATTCAGTAACCTATCATACTTAGGTGAGGGTGTGAGTATGGGTGTGTAGTCGTCTATCAGTAAATTGACTCTAGTTCCTTCAAAGTCTTATGAAAACAGGATTTATTATATACCATTCGACGCGCCTCAAAAAGCTCTACAACATGGTATATTTGGTTTTTCATTTCTGAGCAGGTTACCTTATTCGACAAGGTTTTTTAACACCGTTCTACGAACTTTTGGTTTGCCCTAAGTAATATTGACCTACGTGCTTAAGATTTTCAGTTCATGACGAAACGATCTGATTACTTTTTGTTTGACACAATAATCATTCGATTGATCATGATAAATAGTAAAAATATATGTTCTAGTTTGAATTTTCGGTCTTCGCTTGTCGAATTATGAGAAAATTACTTATTTTCTTTCTCCTAATCACTAGATACATCTTTAATTTTGAGCACAGTTCAAAAAAAGTTGTTTCTTTAAAATGCAAATATATATTCGTTCTAACTCAAATTTTCGAATATTTTTAATGACCATAAGACTCATTTATAGACTATATATCAGCTTGAATTTTCGATTGTTATAGCAAAAAAAAAAAACTTTTGTAGATTAAATAAAAAAATGAAATAAACAAACTTGTATCACGTTTTGGTTTAGGTTTTTTTTCTGTTTGTTGTTTATGTTCAATAGTTGACTGTTCAACAATTGGTTGTGATATACCATCAGTTTTTATTGGTTTACTAATATTTTCAGTAGTCAATTTTTTTGCTGGTGGTCTTTTTATAATAACTGGATCGGTTTTCCATGAATCAGGTCCAATTAAACCTAAAACAAAAATTTAAAAATAAAAAAAAAAACTTCTTTTTCTTTTTTACCTGTTTTAGAATCTGATTGAACATGAGCAGGTTCATGACGACGAACATTTTTTAATCGTTGTATATCATTTGAAGTTAATGATGAATCTTTATTTTCACGTTTTATAGTTGAAGCACTTAAACTACGTGGTTGTATAGATCGATTATTTGTTAATGAATTATTTTCTTCTATTTAAAATAATTTATTAAAAATTTTATAATTATTATTTTTTACTTTAACATACTTGGTATAATTTTAGTAATTTTACGTGTATTTGGTTGATGAAATTGTTGATATTCAAAATCATTTGTTAGAATAACATCATGATCATTATGTAACATTCGTGAATTAGTTGAATGTCTAAGAATATTATCATGTTCAGATGAATATGATTGTGATGGTGAAAGAAAAGAAGAATGTTGTTGTTGTTGAGGAGAATAATAATGATTTTGTATAGTAGATGATGAAGAATATGTATGATTAGGACGAAATGATTCAAACATTTGATTACCGTTTGATTGTTCAATACGACGTTCTATAAAATATTCGAAGAATTCTATAGAGTTTCACAATCATATCTCAATTAAAACTAATTAATTGCTATTAGTTTTTTCAAGTTAGAATTTTCAATGATATATTTCTCAGACAAATGAAATTACAAATTAGAAGATTATAAAATATTTCAAATTAACATAGTTTTTACATTTTTGGAATTTTCTTTTTTTTTCTATTAGTTCTGATAAATATTATGTAAATAGCAAAAACCTTGAAAAAAAAAATTCTTGAATTGATTATTATTCATAACATAAATAAAGAAACCTACTAAATTAGAATTATTACAATAATAATTTTTGTTCATTATTAAAATAACGAAACATTTTTCGCAATTGTCAAAATATCCTGTTCCTGAAGAAATTCAATTGCGATCTAAAACTTTGAACTAACAAAGAAAATTTTTTCAATACAGAACTTCTATTAGGTCTTCCCTTTTTTTTTGAATGATGTTCATTTTACTCAATTTTTGTTATGTTGTATTATATCCTGAAAGTTTTAATTCAAAATGAATGTTTCTCTTTCTAGATAGTATGTTTGCAAAAATAGACTAAAAATTTAGTAAAATGAATATAACTCGAGAAGAAAAGCTTAATGATACGAACTCTTTAACTCATTGAGTCTGAGATTATTTTTATATAGGAAAAATGACGAGGGGCAGTTGATAGGCAAATTGATCCTTTAAATAATTTTTTGATTCGGAATGTTAACCAAACGAAAGAGCCCGATGAGTCGCGAGCACTTTTTGTAACGAAACTCAATCTTTTAAAGAAAACGATGAAGCCAATCTCTTTCGTTTGGTATAATATAATTGAAGTTTCGCATCAAAAAAAATTTTATAGAACCAATTGTCCCTTGTCTTTTTTTACTATACAAAAATAATTTCAGACTTAAAAAATTAAGGGACAATCAATAATCATCAACAAGTATACACAACACAAATATCCTAAATACAAATCTTCATGTAATTCATATCATTAAATAATCAATAGATCGTGTTTTTTCAAGTTATTCAGATCCCAAAATATCCGAATACGAATTCGCGTCACTCGGATTCAATAGATTAAGAATTTTTATCTACACTATGAGGTCAAATGGAGTTTATTAATTCGAAGAATTTGCTCGTTCACTGATTCGAAAAATATTTCATATAAACTAGTCTAAATAAAATCTTTCTTTTCGATATACAGAAAAAAATCAATTTTGAAATCATAAAATGATTGTTCTTATCAGTATTACCCCATAGAACACAATACGAACTATAAATCAACAAAGATTTACAACCTATATAAACACTTTTTATTGTTTACTTAAAATATTAATCGATGACTTTGATTTGACAATATAATTTATTTACTTTGATCTTAAATTTTTTTATAATCTATTCTTGAATTTTATCAATATATTCTAAAGATAATTATTCGAATTCATACAATTATTATTTACCTGCAGCAGTTTTTTGTTTACTAATTTTTCTTTGAATTGTTTGTAATGATTGAGAATCAAATAAATGATGTTTATTATTTAGAAATCGTTCATCATCTAACATTGTGAAATTTTCAGTATAAAATTGTTGATGAATTAAATATGTTTTAATAAATGAATAATAATAATATCCTGTTTGTTTTGAATCATATATTGTTTATTAAATATGATTCAGTATGTGACATTAAAAATCATGAGGAATTATGTACAATGTATTCAAAAAAAAAAAACGAAAAAGAAAAAAAAAACATAAGTATTGTCCAACATGCATTCTTTGTTTCGATTAAATATTTCATGATTCGTCAATTTACTACCATTATGGAAGTTGATTCTAAGCAATAAACTTCATTCATTTTGTTTTTTTTTTGATATGTTAGAAGAGTAAGATGGCGCTGGTATAAAAAATTATAGAGAGGGCTTTTACAGTGATTTTAATTGGATTAAATAATGGTCAAATGTGAGTGATAGAAATAGATTATCAAATTTTCGTAAGTGATTTTTTCAAGGAAAAACGTGTGAGTGAGACAGACGTTATAGTCTAGAATTTCGAAAACAAAATTAGAAATTGCGAAAATTCTTATCAATCTTACCAAGTCCTTTTCTCTTGAATAAGAATAAGTTGCTGAAATATTCTTCTATATTCATTGTGGAATACGTATTCTACGAATACTGTTTTGAGTGTTTCGGATACGTTATACTTCCCAAGTCTTAGAAAATGTATGCCTTCTCTAAAAGAATTGCATGTTTTTCTTTCGACTTTTGTTCAACAATTTCTACAGGAATAGTCGTCGCTTTCAATATAGTTAAGCTTACCTTCTGAACTATCGTCACTCAATTCTGATGATTTGTGAGAGAGTACTGAAATATTTTTCATTATCCAACAAATGGATTCGATAACGGTTATCCCAGGTAGCCATTCATTTATAGAGATAGATACACTTTTTTTTTTATTAAAATCTCATGATAATCTCTTGAATTTTGAATATAGTGGACATGAAATGTATAGTGTAGTATAAACAGCTAAATAAGAGTCCGAACAAGAACGAAAGAACGTTTGATTTTATAACTTTAATACAAAAACTTTCTAATATCATGAATGATTAATTTATATTCAGATCATGTCTACCGACGATAATTTATCTTCTTCGAAACGACCATTTGGTTTATCATTTCCAAGTAAACCAAAATCAAAAACAACAACAACTTTAACTCCAATTAATAAAAGTTGTTTAGCAGCTGCTGCATTTTCTCTTGATGATGATGACAATGTAGAACAAACAACTTCATCAACGAAAACAAATAAACTTCCAATATCATCTCGTATTGCACTTAATCCAAAAGCACAACGTGATATTGAAGAAGCACTTGAACAAGATCCAAATATATATGCATATGATGAAGTTTACGAACAAGTTAGTTCAACAGTTCAACAAGAACAAAAACGTGAAGAAAAAAAACGTCTTGAACGTGAATCAAATACATTACGACAAGCAAAATATGTTACAGGACTTTTAGAAAAAAGTAAAGAACGTGAAAAAGAATTTGAAAGAGTTCTAGAACGACGTATACAACGTGAACGTGAACAAGAAGGTGATCTTTATGCAGATAAAGAAGTATTTGTTACATCAGCATATAAAGCTAAATTAGCTGAACGACAAGCTGATTTAGAACGTGAAAAACTTGAAGAAAAACGTGAAGCTTTATTAAATGTTTATCAACAAGATAATATGGATGCTTTTTATCGATTTCAATTTAAAGTTCGAACAGGTTAATATTTATTTTTCAAATAAAAAAATTAATTTCTTTTTGTTTTTTTTTTCTTCTTCTTATTTATTATTTCTTAGGTGATATAACTATTCTTGAAGAAAGTGAAAAAATTAAAAATGAACCATCAGAAAGTAATCAAAAAGGTAATATATACTATATATAATTATTTTGTTTTTGGAAATTTTATTTATTGTTTTTTCTTAGATTCTTCAACTAATCGTCAAGCTCGTCAACTTCGTTCACGAACAACAAATGATGATGATCAAATGGAAATAAATTCTATCAATGATATTGATAATGATAATATGTATGTACGTGCACGTGAAAAACATACTCGATCTATACAACGTGAACATCAACAAGATGTTAATGATGAAGTAATTATTGATGAAGTATCAAAATCTACTCAATTAAATACAACAATTAAAGTTCGACGTATTAATGATGAAAAAACACAAATATTTGATGATGAACAAATTGAAATGGGTGTTGGTGTAAGTGGTAAAAAAAAGAAAATACAAAAAGAAAAAGATAAAGATCAAAAATTAATAAATACAAAAGAAAATGATGTATCAATAAATATGCCAATAGCACATGAAAAAAAACGACAAGCTGAAGAAACAAGAATTGAAAGAATACGTCGATTATGTGAAAAACGTACGATTGGAGATGTATTAGAAATAGCTCAACAAGCTTATTATGAAAGAGAACAAAAACGAAATTTATTTAAAGATTATATTGAAAGAACTGAATCATAATCTTATTTATATTTGTAGAAAAATAAAACAATAAAGTATTAATACAGATTTAAATGATTGGTATTTTGCCGGGATAGCTCAGTTGGGAGAGCGTCAGACTGAAGATCTGAAGGTCCCTGGTTCGATCCCGGGTCACGGCATTTCTTTTTTTTTTTTATTCTCAATACTTCTTCTTTCAATGTATAAAGGGTGTCGCTCTTTCTTTTCGTCTCTTTGAACAGTGTTTTGCATAGCAATCTAGATTAATACTGTTATTAGGAATGATGAATATATTTTTTTTCTTGAGAAACTTTTATTAATCAAATCAAGATAATTACATCTTATAAAATTGATTTATAAATGTATATTTACAAAATTTTTCATTACATGTTTATACCACAGCATAGTTTTACATTGAAATGTTTCAATTGACTAATTTAGTTCGTCTTCTTTTACAAAAAAAAATATGTATGCACTTCAAAACACTTAACACAAACTTCATACATTTAAAATGTATCAAGACATGCATTCTTCAACTATGAAGTTAAAGAAAAGTGTAATGAAAATATCAATTCTACACGGATATGGAATAAAAAAGTATGTTATTCCTTAGTGTATGAGATCTGAAGACCAATAAAACGACGTCGGAATAAACTAGAGAAAATTTCAACTGTTTATTTTTTGAAATAATAAAAGTACTGAAATGAAGATCAATTTTAGACACTTTTTCTTTTTTTTTCAAGAATTATTTTTTAATAGTTTGGAAGTAATGTTTTTTTGTGTTTTTTATCAAAAATTCAGTAGTGAAGAGAAAAAAACAATAATGAAGAATAGAAAAAAAAACAAGCATTAATTTTGTTTTAATGTCAATTTTTCATCAACATCATGGCATTTTTCAAAGCAGGTCTGTAGGAACGAAATTTAACTAAATTAAACTTTATTCTCAGAAGCATTTTATTCATTTTAAAGAATTATTTTTTTTTTCAGTTAGTTTTTCGCTCGTATAATAGGTCACAACTGAATCAAAAGATGTCATAGTTTCAAAGAAGCATTCTTTGTCTCTAGTCAAGTCTTTACTTTCAGTTCGCTTAGCTAATGCTAAGTTGAATATCGGAATTTGTAAGGAGATTTCTTTTTTCATACATAATCAAAAAAATCACTGCTTTTGACTTTTGATTAAAAATAATAGAGACTCGAGCACAAGTGTTTGACATCTATTGCTTCGAATCTTTTCGAGACAATTCATTTTGAAATATGAGTAGGGTCCGTTGAGTCCGAAATTTCTGGACTTTGACCCGAGATTAATCCGACGTGTTCTAATTATGACTAAGGAAAAAATAGTTGTTAAAAATTTAGAGTCCATAAAAGTTATCGAACGATATTGTTTACACATACAGCGTTTTAGAATTTATTTACTATTTGAAAAAATCTACTCAGCGAATTCAATTTAAAGAAAGTATATAGTTAATTATTTTCAACATATATTCATTGTTTTTTAATGATGAAAAATTAAACAAACATTTTTCAATGAACATTGATGAAAAAAGTTATTTCAAAAGCTCGATATCTAATCAATAGATAAGATAAGGTTTAATATCTTTTCTTAATTTTTCTCTATATTTAAAGCATCAGAACTATGTGAGGTATGTATTACATTACAAACGGGTAAATGTATAAATGAAACATGTGTCTGTCATCCTGGGTTCGTCGGACCTGTATGTACAGGTAAAGATTATTTTTTTAAATTTCAATATAGAGAACAATAATGTTCTTTGTTTGAAAGATCGAGTAACAACTTCGGTTGCACAATTATCTGCATCTCAAATTAATATAAGTGCTGTCTTAGCTGGCATTCTCGGTGGTATTTTTTTTGGTGTTATTGTTAGTTTAATGATTTTTTTTATTTGGAAAAGAAGAGTTAAAAAGAAATCATTTGCATTGTCTTCATCAACAATAGCTACAAATTTATCATCATCAATACCTGTTGTAGTACCTGCTTTATATGATATATCATCATCTCGACGAGCTTCATCTGTAACATCTGCTCCAACAGTGACTTATCATTTATATGAAGAATTATTATAAAAGACTTCTGTTCTTTTTCTATCGAATTGATATTGAATGCATTTGGTCATAGTGAAGCATCATTTCGATAATGGGCTGGCTTTGTAATAATCGTATATTTTTTTTTATGGCTTTTAAATCCAATTGGTTATTTCCTATTTTTCAAACATTTTTTTTTGTACTCTTATATTATCTAGAAAAATAAAGATTCTTTTTAAAAGAGTCACATTTCCTAGAAAAAAAAAGTATCTTTCAGGCTGCTATTAATATGATCAGTAGCATCTATCACATAACGGGCAGATGGTGTGCATTCCGTGTTCCTTATTTTCCGTTATTTTTGTAACGATTGTCACAGAAGATGATTATTCATTGTGCACCGTGAAGTTATTAGTATCATGAATACAACAAGATTAATAAGGAACACTACAAAAGAAATTTTTCGCATCAGTCATTTGGAGAAATATTGAAAGACTGGTTCTAGTGTTGATTTTCAAAGTATTGTCCCTCGTCAACAATGCCCTTAGGGATTTTATTTTGAAAGTTCATTAATGACTGCTTAAAGAATGTCTAACATTGAATTGCTGTCATTGAGTCTAATTTTGTTTAGTTGATATATCGGTTTTAGTAACAAAAAGGTATCCCACGGATTCAGATCTGTGAAATATGCTTGATTAACATACTCTTTCATATGATTTTGAGTCCAATTCCTTGAATGTTCATAATGAAAACTAAGATCTTGAAGACCGATCATTGATTTCTCTTAGAGCAGGATTTAAAAACTTGTATTAGGCAGCTATTGACGGACTAGAATTTTAAACGAATAGAAATAATTGGTGAGGAAAATTATTTCGTCAAATATCACTCAGATAGAACTAATTGTATCTACGTTAACAGCAGCTAAAAAACAAGCTGAACGAACAACATTAGAAAATGGTCTAGTGAGTTATTTAAATAATAACGTATGTCACTGATCTGAAAGAAATTTTTACAAAGTCTAGAGATCCGATATTGCGATAAAAAGTGTTTAGTACTTTACGTAGTTATTGCTTCTAAATAGCTCATAAGACAATTTCAGTACTCATTTTAAACACAAATCCTATAGTTGAATTCATTTATCAGGCTAAATTTATACTCATATCAGTCAAATAACTTGGAGTATTGAGAGCAATTAGATATATTAGAAACAAGATATAAGTTTGAATCCATGTTAGAAAATATCTAATGATGAATGAAAAACTATGTTTAAACACCGATGTAAAAGTTAACAATTGGGTTACCCATAAAGAACATTCAAGTAGAAATCATCTATTTTGATTAGTCTATTTGTTCACGTATCCTTGTTTGTTTATTTTTTCCATTATGAGAAGTTACTCCTTTGAAAATGCTAATTAAAAACAGTTTAGTTTAAAGATGTTATGAACAATGCTTAAAAAAACGAAAAGGAAATTGCGATAAGTGTCTGAACCCTCGCTTCTTTCTATTCGAAAATTTCCAATCTATTCTGACCCTTTCTCACTGCTTTTTATCAGACAAATTAATCGAAGAAAGTTATAAATTGATCATATTATGAATTCCAATTCAAAAATAATACTTTTACTAAATCCGACTTTGCAACTATTTAATGAATGGTGAATAATCAATGAATAAATGACATCTGTCTATTTTTCTGATTTATATCTGTAACAACTACTTCTTAATCATTGTATGAAACTTTAGTCGACATATTTTCATTCATATACTACGATACAGATTTATCAATGTTAACTTCATTCTATGTGGCGCTTTTTTCTTCCTATGAAATAAAATTTTGCGGAAGCAAATAAAAAAAAAATACTTTTAGTGTTTTTTTGATCACTCTTTTGTTTGAAAATATGCTTTAAATAATGATAAATAAGAACCCTTCACCAGTTGATATATTATGTCGAGAATTACATCGACTTGATAATGATGTTGATCGATTACAAATGCTTGTTACACTTAAATCTCATCTTAATAATTTACAATTCAATTCAAATACTCTTCAATTCTTTTTTTCTATCTTTAATCATGAACAATATCGTTTACAAGCAATTAATCAATTAATTCCATCTGTAAAATCTATTTTTTCTTCAATAATTCTTTTGTTTTTTTTTTTCGTTGATATATTTAATTAGATTCATACATTTATCACATCAGATAGTCTAACAATACTTTTAGAACTATTTACTAACAATGAATATCGTTTAAATTTAATTGAAATACTTAAAAATTGCGAGTATGTTGTATTTAATTTTCTAATAAACATTTTACAAAAAAAAAGAACACGAAATCTTTTATCTATAGACCATTAAAAACAAACAAAGAAGTCCATGACATATTACATAATGAATATCGTCAATATTTTCATGTGAAAAAAATTAAATCAAAACAAAATGTTAAAAATTCTGAAAATCAATTGATTCAAATCGAAAAATCAAACGATATAGAACCAACTATTCCTATAACTACAACATCTAATGTTGCTAAAGTTTGTTTTTTTTTTCTTGAAATATTCATATCAACATATTTTTCTTTTGCCAAATACGATCTAATATAAAACCTTTAGTATAATTTTAAAGAACTCGACATTAAAGAAAAATGACTATTTTCGATTTCCCAACAGATAAAAACAAAAGTGTTTTTTTCACGATTTGATAGAGTGATCCTAATTCTTACTAGTGAAGTTTTAGACGAGATTTTTCGACTAAGATTAACAAGAGGAACACAGACTTATATGTCATTGAATCACCCATAGATCACAGACTGTATACCAACAATGCTTCATTATAATACATGAACTAGTATTTCTTTATTGCTTTTTTGGAGGATTTAGTAAAAAAAGGGTGATGAATAAATGTGGCTCAAAATAGATAGATTAAAACAATCTTTATACGATTATCAACAGCCGCTATATCGTGTTTTACATTTTAGTTACGCAAGAATTTCACTAATGACATTTTTATTTCAAGGTTTTATCCAATACATCAGGAGTATTTGAAAAAGCGAAACAATTTGTATGTCGTGTATTTGGTGGTGGTTCATCATCATCATCATCGTCTCTTAATCAAGAATTATCAAATAAACGATTGATTAATGAAGTTAATTCTATAACTGATAATACTGAACGAAAAAAATTTCATCCTATCGATGATGATTTACAATTTCAACCAACATCAATGTCATTATCAACATCACAAAGTTATACATCACTAATTACTAAATCACCACCACCTTCACCCATAATACATGGAGAACAACCAATTATTCATCAATCATCTATGTCATTTCATACAGATGAATCATCTATACCTATACAATCAATGATGGTAACACAAATTAATTCAATTCTTGATAATATTGATTCAGTTCTCGATAAAATTGAAGCACAAGCTAATTCAGTTATTCGACGACCAGCTTTTAATGAAAATTATACACCTATTGAAACATCAAATACACTTCATTTAAATATTGATTTGTCTGAAGAATTACCAAATACATCAATACAACAAAGTACTGATCAAATAACACAAACAGCTATTAATATTGTTGAACGTCATTTAAATATGAATGATGGTAGTGGTGATACAACACCAATATTTATTGATTTACTTGATATTATTGAAGAATCTAGCTCAATTATGTCATCAGAATTGAGTGATGAAATAATTGATAATTTTCAATGATGGATTATATTTTGACTAAATCATTTTTTATGAAGATGTCAAAAAAGTATTTTCATTTAGCTATAAACAAAAAATAATAACAATATATTCAACAAACTCTCTATTAAGCACATAATTATTCTCATGAACCAATGGACAAACTGTTGATAAAGCACAGTTTAAATAGAATATTTCATTTTGAAATTTCTTTTTAGTTGAACATAAATGATACTATGTAATCAAAAATATCTATCTATTGAGTATAATTAAAAAATAGAACTCTTATCTGAATCTATACTGTGACTAAATGATATTGAATGGGTAGTATATCGGCAATAAAAAATCAAGAAGAAAATATAATTCTTACAAAAGGTTTAATTTCGTTTATTTTACTCATACGACACGTGTGACAACTCTCAGTTCAATGAATCAATTCTTTTCATATGAGCTGTATTTTTATGCATTTAATTTTATCGTAGTAGGGTTTGGGTGTTGGTTATGGTTCCACTTAGACGTACAACCGCATCCATACCCACACACACCCTTAAGTGATCAAACAATATTCGTTTTGACTAAACTTGAGACCAAAAGATATCGCTGGGGTTTCAAATTTTGCTTATTATTTTTTCATTTTGAAACTTTCCGAGAGTCGCTCTATGAATTATTAGTTGATTCCGGTCTCACTATTTCGACGAATAGATAATCGTACACGTGTGTTTTTCTCATTCTAGAGAGTCGACTTCGTCACCTTGCAAAATATTCATATTTCAAGTGATTACGCAATCATGACGCATAGTTAGGAAAAAAAGATATATATTATATTTACACATTTTACGTATGATAACTTAACTTATGTCTACTAAGAAAATATCTTCCATTCAAACATTACCCATCGAACTTGTTCATCGAATCTTCGATAATCTCAATGTCGAGACCATTGTTTTTTCAATTCGTCGTGTATGTAAACAGCTCTATTCAATTGTTAATTCCTATAATCGTTATGAACTAGACTTCCGCTTTATAACAAAATCTGAGATATCTCTCATAGCATGTATTATTAATCCTAAAAATGTTATTTCACTTACGCTTACGGATGAATTCGAGAACTATGGTCAAATTGGATTCTTTCTTTCTCACTTTCATATTGGCCAATTTATTCGACTACGTTCATTGACTCTCTTTTATGTAGACTACCAAGATTTGGCTGAATTTCAAAAATATATCAAGAAATATCCTCTTACAACATTCTCAGTGTTATCTGATGAACATTATAACAGCAATATAAGTAGCTCGTTATCATCTATTATATCGCACAATGATCTTCGTAAATTGGAATGCGAT